CGTGCGGGCTCCGAGGTCGGGGATGCGGGCCCGGGGAGGGCTTCAAACCCGGGGAGGGTCGCAGTCAGGGCTTGACACGCCGTGGGAGAGTCACACTTGGTCCTTGGGTTGGGATCAGATCCCCTAGGAGGGCACAACGCTCCAGGAGAGTGGTGGGGCACAGGGGGCGGGTCTGCAGAGCCCCAGGCACTAGGGAGTTAGTGATATCCCCAACGGTTTTCGCCTTGGAGGCCATGGGGTGGCCCCCAGGGGCCTTTCCTGTCAGGGGAGGGCCGTCCTCCAGGAAAGTGTGGTCTGGGTGGTGCGCAGGGGCCTCACATGGGAATGTTACAGAAAAGGGGAAGTGGCCCAGGCTGACTTGCTAACAGACCAAACAGGGACTTTGTCCGGTTGCTTTTTATTTTTAAACGTGACCCTCCCAGGCTGAGGGACCTGTGTGAACTGCCCTCAGTGCTGCCCCAGCGGCCTTCTGGAGAGGCTTTGACAGGGCCTGGGAGGGGCTCGCGCCTGGGGCCCCCTGGCCTTTGAGGATGGAGATGCCAAAGGTCAGATTCAGCTCACACACATCGGGGCTTTGCTCAGGCCCTGAGGGGTGAGGGTGGGGAGGCTGCAGCCCGAGGGGCAGGGCGGGAACCAGACCTGCTCTGGGCTCTGAAAGGGAATAGTTGGGGTTAACAGCTGCCCAGAGGGGTCCTCACCACACCGGTCCTCAGAAGGAGAAACCTCCCAGCTCCCAGGCAGAGAGCAGGCCCCAACTCTGGCCAGCGGGACCATCCTGTGGGGGCAGATGACAACCATTCCTCCCTGGACACTCACCCGGTGGTTATTTCCACCCCTACAAAGGCACCCCCTTGCACTGTGCCCTCTCTGCTTAGTTCTTGGCCAGCCCACTCACTTTTGCCCACCGACCTCTCCGGGTTCAGTTTTCTTGTCTGCAAAACAAGCGTGTGGGAGTGGTTGTAATGCCAGTCACGGCTATTCCCGGCAGTGCCTGGCGCACACGGTGTGCTCAGCATGTGAAAGACCTTCCCTTGTGCCTGGGGTGGCAGGGCCCCACTGCGGAATTTAAGGCTGTGCCAGCTCGGGTGTCTTGCCCCACCATGACTCAGGGCAGCTGGCAGGAGGCTGCAGGCAGAGAGCGGGAGCCTGGCGGGGGTTGATCTGTTACTTCGCTAACTCTGCTGCTCCCTGCCCTGGGCCTGACTTTGTTGCAACTGCTCAGCTCTGCTATTATCGGGCATAAGCAGCCATAGCCAGTATGTATAGGAATGAACACATTCCGATACAGCTTTATTTATAACCACAGAGAGCAGGCAGATATGGCCTATGGCCAAAGTTTGCCAGCCTCTGCTTTACATGGTCCCCAATGCAAGCTCCCTTTCCTCCCTCTTCTCAGGCCTCACAGGGATAGGTGGCTGAGTGTCCTGGCTCCCCCTTTCTCTTTGTGGGTTGGAGAAAGAGAAAATCCTTGTATGATGGGAGGGTGTGCAAAAGAGACAGGTGATGTCCCCAGCTCCCGAGCTCTGGATTTGACTGGGTATTTTGTGGGCTTTGTGCTTCCCACCACTCCCTTGGATTCCAGAGCCCAAGTGGAGGTAAGTGGCCACGGTCTACAGACATGACTGGCCAGGCTGCAGCATGTGGGTGCCCACAGGCCTCTGAGCTCCCTCCCTCCCGCCCGCTGTCCCCCACGTGGTTTCCCTGTGTCGTTCTGCCTATCTGCATGGCTCTGCTGGGGTGTGCCTGCGTGCAGCCACACCAAATGTTGTACCACCCCATCTTTGAGGACCTGGACTGGCTCTCCCTGCCCCTGTCTTTCTGGGTCCCCCTTTATCCTCTTGGAAAAGCCCCTCTGGTTCCAGCCGTTGCTGAGAAGGGGTTTCTAGCCCTGTTCAGAAACCTCCAGGTAGGACTTCCCCAATCTCCTGGGTGATCTGTGTGCAGAACAGGGCTGGGTTTAAATATTTACGCCGCAGCCTCTTCCCTGACACCAACCCCCATGCTTCCTGGTCCTTACTGAGCCTGTGGCTCCGTACCTGTCTCCTCCTCTATGCTTCCAGCTCTGTGAGGGCAGGACACAGCATGGGTGCAGGATGCACCAAGGCCTTGGTGGCTGTCAGTGCATCAGTGGTTGTTGTCCTTGGTGACAATTACGTGTTCGGAAATAACAAGGGCTGTGCAGCCCAGATGGATAGTGGCCTTTCTTTCTGAATGCCGGCTGGTGCTGCGTGCTGACCCATCAGGGGACATAGGGAACACGCAGTCCTGGGGAGAGAGGTGGAGCCTGGCCCAAGCTGCCTGAAAGCACCATGGCCTGAGCCTTTCTCTGTTACTCCTGCGGCAGAAGTGCCATCTCGCTCCTCCTTGGCTCCTCAAGCAGGAAGCCACGTGTAGACAGAAGCCAGGATGTCTGCACTCCTTGAGTAAAGGCCATGGTGAGATCGGGCACAGTAGTAGATTCCAGGTCCAGGCAAAGATCTCCAGTGTCTTTGCAAGGGGACCAGAGTCTTTTCTATTGTTTATGAATTTTTTTAATGAGCCTAGAAACCAGATTGTGCAGTGACTTCATATTTTTTAAGAATTTTTCAAGAGTCTTGGTAAATCCTCTTGCAGATGCTTACTTGGAATATATTTATGAAAGACTTTTCCATTTCTTTTAAAGAAAGATGAGTGTCATCTAAGATATATTAAATGAAAAAAAAAATTCGAGCTGACAAAAGTTATAAACTATCTGGCTACAAAGCGCAAAGAGAAACAGAAGCCAGGGTGAGCCCTTGCAGCCACCAGAGAGCCACCACTCCCGCAGCAATGATGCTTCAGGAGCAAGCACTTTCTCTCGGCACAGGCGGCATCAGGGGAGTGCCCTGCTCTGCCTGCAGAAAGTTCAGGCCTGAATCTGAGAGCTCAGTTGGCCTGTGTGGTGCTTGCGCTGTGAGCCTCTGGGACACCATGTACTTTTTGTGCACTTACATGGGGCAGGCACGTGTGAGGTGCTTCATGAACAGGATTGTAGTTTGCCCCTCAACAGTCTGGAGAGGTGGGAGTATCACCCCATTTTACAAATGAGTAAACTGAGGCTTGGCAGTGAGAGGATGTGCCTGCGGCCCCACAGTGCTGCCTGAGGACATCCTGCCTCCCAGCCTTCTCTTCGGTAGTAAGCACAGCCCACCCAGAAGGTCATCTCGACCTTGGAGGGAATATGTGCCTGGCGGTGCTCGCTAGAGCCAGCCGACTGCTGGACAGAGGCCAGAAAGGCGGAGTGGGACAGAACCCATGGAGGAGTCCCAGACCCAAACCCCTCTCCACCCTAGACAGCCATGCGGTAAACAGCCTGCGGTGTTTGTGGTCACTGTTTGGGTGTACTGGCCGACAGCGCATACTCCACTCTGGAGCCCTTCTAAGAGGGCAGCTGGGGGAGATGGATGGAGAGAAGCCAAGGCCGAGCTGAGGGGCTCGTTAGTGCAGCCTGGATAGCTCTACCGAAGCCTCGGGCCCAGGAGAGCAGAAGCTGTTAGAGCCGACCCCAGCTGCCCTTACTCCCCATAGCCCCAGAAGCCAAATCAGGCACAGTCCCTGCTCTGGCCCCACCACCCCAGGCAGCTCCATGGAGCCCTTGGACCCCACATGGCATGGCTGTCTAGTCCCTCTTACATCTGCATAGTTAGGAAAAGGCTGAGCGACTCAAGCACCTTGAGGAGGGAGCCAGCAGCTTTGCCATCTGTCCCACAGCAACTGCGGACTGTCTTCCCGGCCCCATGAGGGTCACTGTAGGATCCTTTGAGTGTCCGTCCCAAGAAGAGAAGCTTATTCCCTGCCTGGCAAGCAGCTACCAGGCTGTCGCATCCCAGAGAAGAAGGGGCAGACCCGCACGCATCCCTGCTTTGATGGCATTTACCTGTGTGTCAGGCTGGATACAGCAAGTCACATTTGTCACAGAGGCATGTCCCAGATCATGGAATGGTTGTTTTGGGATCCAGAGCTCTGGGTGGCAGTCACCCACCTGTGGGTCTCGGCCTAGTTGCAGAGCATCCACAGAGGATGGGTGGTGTCTTAGTAATCTAGTGCTGCTGTAACAGAAATACCATAAATGGGTGGCTTCAACAAACAGAAGTTTATTCTTTCACAGTCCAGTAGGCCAGAAGTCCAAATTCAGTGTGTCAGTTCCAGGGGAAGGCTTTCTCTTTGTCAACTCTGAAGGAAGGTCCTTCTCATCAATCTTCCCCTGGACTAGGAGCTTCTCTGCACAGGAGCCTCAAGTCCAAAGGATGCGCTTAGCTCCTGGCGCTGCTTCTTGATGGTGTGAGGATCCCAATTCTCTGCTGGCTTCCCTTTCCTTTTATCTCTTGTAAGATAAAAGGTGGTGCAGGCCACACCCCAGGGAAACTCCCTTTACATTGGATCAGGGATGTGATCTTAGTAAGGGCATTACAATCCTACCCTAATTCTTTTTAACATAATCTAATCTTGCCTCATTAACCACAGGAAGAGATGAGACTTTACAACACATAGGAAAATTATAATCATAAAAATGGAGGACAACCACACAATACTGGGAATCGTGGCCTAACCAAGTTGACACATATTTTGGGGGGGCACAATTCAATCCATGATAGGAGGTGATGGGAGATGCTCCAGATCCTGGCTTTAGGGCATGTTCTTGCAGGGAGACTGCTTAAGATGATCAGGCTCATAGGGAGGTTTTATTGAGGAGAGGTTATTGTTGCTGTCTGTGGAGAGATGGCTGCCCTTAGCCCAGGTCTGCATGCCATCAGTGAGGACATGGGTGTGGTCGATCCCTGCTGTGGGAAGGAGATGCTTGGTGTGAGCAGCTTCTGCAGGTGATGAAGGTGCCTCCCCTGCCCTGCAGAGGGTGGACTGGAGGTGAACATGTACATGGGTGAGTGAGGGGGTGCTGGAGGTGACTGCGCCTGGCGGGGCTAGAGGTGAGCGTGCATACAGCGAGCCAGGCTGGCAGTGAGCGTGCGTGTGGGGAGCAGGGCTGGAGGTGAGTGTGCATGGGAGCCAAGACTCCTTAAGCCATGCAGGGTGGGGCCTCTTGGGCAGTGGTGGCTGGCAGGGAGACTCCTGAGTGCCTGAGTCCCTAAGGGAGATAGAGCACAGAGGTTGTTTTTCTGGGCCCTGCTGCCTACGGGGAACACCAAGTCCCCTTTTCCTTTTTGGAACAGGGAGGGCCAGGAGCAGTGTGCTTCCAGCTTGGCCCCTGACAGGAGTCTGTCTCCCTGGGATTGGAAGTAAAGTCGGAGTCTGAGCCCTGAGCCCCTCTCATCCTCTCTCTCTGTAGCCTGGGCGCCCTGCCAAGAGAGGCAGAACACAGACTCGGGTGTATCTCAATAGGTGCCGAGTCCACAGCTGCCCAAGGTGAAGAGCTGGGGGCACTACCAACAGGTGACATTTCTGGCTTTGGCCAAATTGCCAATAATTTCTGCAGTGATGCAGAAAGTGGTATGTGAATTGTGAGGCCCCGGGGTCCCTGGCATCTGCCATGTAGCCGACTTCACTTTGATTCAAGTGTGGTGGGGGTAGG